AAATGGATTCGGTTAAAGGGATAAAGCACCAAAAACAAGAAACAATAATGTTCTTTTCCGTTAGAAAGACTGAACCTTTGCACCTAACACCAGTAAATGTAAAGGAAGAAAATATCAACAATCCTAAAAATCTGATTTTATTGGCAATTACACTTCTCGAATTCCTTATTTAATGAATTTCAGTGGATATTCATTCTGGTGTCTTGGCTGACAATAATTTTATTCTTTTAACTGTTGCTAATTGTTTCTCCTTGACTATTTGTATGGAATAAGGGAACATTTTACCATCCATTTTCAGCTTTGTTATTTAGAAAGTAATCTTTCCAGCTATACCTTTCATATTTAAGATGTAATAATGTAATTAATCCAAAAATTTTTTTCATAAACAATAGCGTTGTTTATGTGGGTCCCCCTTGTGAAGCCATATGACCAAGTGCATGAATGTGAGAGCATTGTGCACACACATTACATGTGCTAATTTTTTTATTATCTACATGTAAACTTGGCAAGTATTGCTGTATAATGGCTCTTGGTAATGATTAAGTAGCCTTTTTTGCGGTTTTTGTCCTGTCATCCTGTGTTGGCTCCACAAGTTAACATTTCTGTTACACTGTCATATTTATTGTTCTAGGGGTTCATTCTGCTATATTAGTGATTTCCTGTAGTGCTCCTTAGTCTTCATTCTACTTTTTCATCCTTGGCATAATGCAGGGTGCACAGCTCAGAAAGCATATTGATGCCACTCTAGGCAGTGGAAATCTTAGGGAAGCCGTAAGACTACCACCTGGAGAGGATTTAAATGAGTGGCTGGCTGTCAACAGTAACTCTCTATCTCTCTGATATTGTGAATGGCACATGATAATTTCTTCAGCTGCATATTTGATTTTTTTATTTATTTTGGCTCACCTGCATATTTGGTTTATTTCCGTGAATTTCATGTTATTCACTGCAACCACGACTTCTGTGATGTCCCTTTAATTAGCTCATTTTCAAATCTTTTTTCCCCTATTTCTATATTTCTGCCAAATTTTGTCTGAATATTGCTGAAGTATGGTTGCTTCATCTTTCCATTTCAGCTGTGGATTTCTTCAACCAAGTGAACCTGCTCTATGGTACCCTCACAGAGTTCTGTACCCCTGAGAATTGTCCTACAATGACTGCAGGCCCCAAGTATGGATATTAAGTCAACCTTGTTTATGACATTGATATATCTCTTTGTAGATTTCAACTTTTTACTTGGTCAATGTTTAGATTTAACGATCTCCTCATTTGGCTTGTGCCCCCAAGATTTCAAGTTAATTTGCTATATATCAAAGCATGATAAATTTATGATATTAAAAGAATATTTAGACATTTAACTTTGAACGGAGGATCCTTTCCCCAAGGTCTTTTTGCTTCTTTTAATCTTTTGTGCTTTTAATACCGCCTGTCAGTGTGAGTAACATATAGAGCAGCTATCCACATTATCTTACCTTTTGAGTGCTCTATTCCTTTTTAAACTCATGCTTCTATATATGTTAGTTCTTTTGGAGTTCATGATTTGATGCCATAAAGAACTTTTCAGGTATGAATATAGATGGGCAGATGGTGTGCAAATTAAGAAACCTATTGAAGTTTCTGCTCCAAAATATGTTGAATATCTAATGGACTGGATTGAAGCTCAGCTTGATGATGAATCCATATTTCCTCAGAAGCTTGGTAATGTATTCATCAAATTCCTAACCATCTTCAATTCTTTTTAATAAAGTCTGAAGTACTACTCCTTTCTAGATCTAGAGTAAAATGGGTGATCATATATATGATGATATTGATGAGATCAATGGTTAATTTTTCTCGTAGTTACACCTGTTAATGTGGAATTTAACTTTATTTATTGTTTTGTACCAGTGCTGAGTATATTCCTACTTTTTGCCCTTTCTTTTGATGAATTACTTTAAACATATTCACTATTTTTTAGGTGCACCATTTCCTTCCAACTTCAAGGAGGTTGTAAAGACAATATTCAAAAGACTGTTCCGTGTATATGCTCACATATATCATACTCACTTTCAGAAAATTGTGAGCCTTAAGGAGGAAGCTCATTTGAATACATGCTTCAAGCATTTCATACTATTTACTTGTGTAAGTGTTTTTTACTGTATGGTGACCCATGTAAGATTCTTTGGTTTGTGACATAAGGGAGTAATTGTGCAGTAATGCTATTACCATGGGAGAAATAATATTTCCACCCTCTTAAAGTAAGACAGTTATGTTGCATAATTCAATTACGAAATTGGTAATAGGCTCTTTAGCCTATTTTTAATTTGTTCATTTAATGTGACTTTTTTTAGCTAAGTGCATTTGGACTTCACATGATTATGAATCTTTAATTGCAACTTCCTTCGTATTTGAAATGAATGAATCTGCTGTTCTAACAGCAAAAGGTTTTCATCTTCATATCATCCCAGTTGTAATGATTGTCTCTGGTTTGAATTCATTTCTTGCTAAAAGATGTATTTCTGTACGATCTGTACAATTATTGCGTGTTCCATTTTTTCATTATGTGTCAAGCATCAAGCATCAACCAGCCATTAGTTGACTTTGTCTGGGACAGGACATCAACAGCCATCCTAAAGTAGCATTTGACAGTTGGATATTTGGTGTTGTGGCCCTTGAATGCTAATATATTCACTTTACTGTCTTTTTGTGCAGGAATTTGGGTTGATTGACAAGAAAGAGCTTGCTCCACTTCAAGAGCTTGTAGACTCAATTGTTGTTCCCTACTAAATCAGCTTTCGGAGATGCTGAAGAAAGGCTCTATTTTAGGGGAACATAATAAAATTATAGTATTAACTATTTATATATCAGTATTTCTCGGTTATAAAGTGCAAGTGCTCGCTGCCTTAGTCTTAGACATATATCCATGTGATCCTTGGACCATTGAAATGTGAAAAGCAATAGCCATATTAAATTTGCTTCTCTTCAGAACCGATAAAGGATTCTTGTGAAAATTTCCCAGCTATGAATGCATGTGTCAGGGCTTTATTTTTTAAGCAAGAACAGCATGGTTCTTGTTTCATCTATTTTTGGTTCTTGGATGGCATTGCAAATGTTTTTACCTCCAACCTTAATCTGAAATCAAGGTTTTACCGTTAGTGTATGCCAAGTTTTTGTTGCTGCTCCTTTTATTTTATTTTATTTTATTATTTATTATTTTTAATGTACTAAAATCTTAGTATTTAGAAATTACATTTGAATTTGATTTATTTAGATTGATTAATTTACAATCAAATCGAATCAGACTTCATAAAAGAAAAAATTGTCTTAATGCTTATCTTTTTATCCATAAAACTCAAAATTGAGATTCTACTTAAAGGGAGTTACTTAGAGTAATATGTTGTGGTTGTTGGTACCTTCTTTGCATCTCATTTAGTTGCTGGAGCCAGCACTCGCTGATTTCCATGCCTTTTTGAGAAAGAGCATTGACGAAAAATGATACTTAATTCACTAATATTCAATATGGTTCCTGATAAACTTGTTATCACCTAAATTTTCCTAATTAATTTTATGGTTTGAAGTCAAAATTTTCAGTCTGCTAATGAGTTGCATCCATTCACAAACGGTAAATTCAACTTGCGCATCAATTCTTGAACTTGTAGGAAAAGAGAGTTCCTCTAGCCATCCTAGTCTCCACCAGCATACATGCATCAAAGCCTGTAAAACCACAATAAAAAAGACTCATGTCATACTCAATAACAAAAAGACTCTGATGAGTCCTTCATCCTAAAGGAAGTTTTTTACCAATCTTGCTCTGCACAGCACAACAATCATGTGAATATAATAGCTTGCATACCGCAATATTAATTTTGATTTAACCCCTGGTGAACTGCGTGCATGCTACTAAGATCAGATATCCCATATCTTGAAACTGCAAAAACATAGGATCCCACAACAGTAACAAGAACACCAAGGACCAGAGCAAAGAGCTGGAAGTTAGCGAGTAACTCCCCTCGAATCTCACTGTCAGCTGAACGGCATATGATTGAATTTCCCTTTAGTTGGCAACCGTCTGGCATCATGGGACCGTAGAGAGTCAAGGCAGTCTGATAAAACCAGAGGCCTTGGAGAGTTATAGCAATTCCGCTACACAAATCAACTGCGAAGCTGGTTGGGAAGAGGGCACCCCCTACAGCGGTTAAGATGCAGAGTGCTATTAGGAGGACAAGTAGGAGATGGTAGTATCCTTCAAGGCCTTTATGGCTTGTTGAGTGAAAGTAGAATAGTAGGTACTCCGCACAGAATGCTGCTGCAGCAATCAGGCAAAGTGCTCCTTGTGGTAAGGGAACAAAACTGAGCAAGAAGAAATTTGGAAGCAAAAAAATAGTCAGTATTTGCGCCTCCATTTGCAAACAACCTGTACATTCACTTTCAAACACAATCAAAAAATAGAGAAACCTCATTCTCCATCTCCTGTACATGTGGCATCATATTTTTATTTAAATGAAAGATATGGAAAACAAATTACATTCAGAATACGTGAACATAATTCATAATCCCTATACGTGTTAGCTATAGAGTTTTTCACTTCTAATCTCTGGAACACAACATGGCAAAGAAGGCCAACGACAAAAGGAAGGGCAAGGACTAACCTTGTTTTCTCTGATAGGAGGGTGATGACACCGAAGATGAGAAACATGAGAAGCATTCCAGAATGTTCGAAATCATTCAAGTGGGAAGGATTCAAGACTCCATTGACAAAAAACTTGAGGTGGGTTGAATATAGAAGCTCGATACACATGTCAATAAAAGCACCAATGGCAATGACATACAGCTCCAAGTACTTGAGCTTCCCATCAAAACCAGGAACTGGGTTCCACACTTGGACCCGGAAGGACTTGGGATTCGAGACATATCGAACCACGGCGCTCCATATGTGCCACAGACCAACCGCAAGAAACAGTGTTCCTGGTAAAGCATGACCCTTGAAAGATCCCATCTTTATGAAAACAAAATATATATATATATATATATATATTATAATATCTATCACTCCCCTTATCTTTAGCTCTAATTGACAATAATCTCCGCCGTTTCTTCTCTTCCTGATTCACATAAAAGAAGTTCTAGTTCATACCCTGAATTTGATCATCTTTGTGGAAGATTAAAAGTTGTTTCTGAAAGCAAATGGTAAAGGGTACATATGCTTTAGGAAACAAACTGTCATGATTCCGAGTCAGCTTTGTTTGGTTGACGAGACAATGCAGAAAATATTAAAAGAGCATGTTAGTGGAAAAGCACGAACAAGACAACTCCTTCCAATAAAAAAAAAGAAAAAAAGTTTAGATTAATTTAAAGTTGTACCAACGAGCAGAACAACGAATTGGACAATCAAGAAATTTAGAATTATAAAGAGAACCAAGCTTATTGAAAAAAGGGGGCAAGAAACTACCCACTTCGAGTCTATATCAAACCAAAAAGAAAAAGGAGAACATTGGTAGAAAAGTCCAGCAACAGAACAAAATCAAACAGCACCCTCCACCTTCAAAGCTTTTCAAAAGCAAAAGAAAAAAGCAGGTTCTTTCTAATTTGATGCGCAATTGATTGAGTCTAAAAGGGAACAGTCATGATAACCAAATCATTGTATGTACTTACAGGACATGATGGAGCTCCGAAGCATGATGGGTTTTCCTTCAATTCGTTGCAATCCCCGAACTCAGAGGTCAGAACTGGATTTAATAAGAACAAATAAATAAAAATAACAACACTGTAGTCTGTGGAAGTGTGGATGGATAGAGGGCAAAGATAGAAGGCGGGTACCGTATGGAGGTTGGGACTAGCTGGGGATGGGATCTGATGCTGAAAAGGGCGAAAAGGAGAAAAGAAAGGGAGATTATTATGAAGGAATCATTTCTCCACGTATCGTCGTTCATTGATCACCATAACCCCATCTTCTCTTCTTTCCTCAAACCTCAGTAAAAGTCAGAGTTTGACTGGGACTGGCATCCCCTCTAGATGGGCCATTGGATCGCCTGACATCTCCTCTCACTGTGACTTGATGTAAGTAGACAACAATTTTTTACTACCTTTGTGAGTCCAGCTATTTTTTTTGTCAACATAAATGTTTTTTCAGCATACTCTTGCATTTTTTCTTATATTTGGAGATTAAAACATTTAAATATTTTTAGATTTTTTTTCATATTTATTTATTAATGATGTTCTTATAATTTTAATATATGAAGCATATAAAAAATGTAATTTATCCTAATAAATACTCATCTCTTTTGTACATGGCACACAAAAACTATGTTTTTTTAACTGACTATTTGCCCTCTTCATCTACAGATGGGATCCTTCTTCTGAGGTGAAATTGGACCGTTTTGAAGCTTGAACTCAATTGCACGCTGGACCTTTGTTGACTTCAAATAAGCTCTCTTTTGCTTCTGATTTGGGTTTTTGTTAAATCTCTTTGTAACTTACATAATTTAACCTTTATTGCAAACTTTTTTATTTGGTACCTTGAAATTTTAGATTTTGTTGTATTTTTTTGATGTGGGTATGGGATGAATTGAAGTTAGTAGTCAATGTCTGTTGAGAAGGAATGTGACTGCGTCTGTCTTCCGTCAGGAAAATATGGAGTCTTGATTAAAGGAAGGGGGCAGATGGGTCATGGGATCCATCCCTTCCATAAGTTCCATGA